CGCTGAGTCTATCTTGCATATCTATGAATATATGTAGTACCTAGCCGTCTGTATACACGACGGATATCTTACAAGGTTCCAACTACGCGTCGTCCCAGCTGATATTTTCGGAAGAAAATAACGCTTTTATCACGCGCGCGCGTGGCAGAAATATCACGCGGACGCGACCCGACCCTCGATTAAGACGACGATCGTCGCGCTCCGAAGATGTTCGTCACTGGAAACGACGATCGGGATTCTTTCTTTGTGTGTGTATGTGTGTTATTGCGGCCAAAAATATACATTTCTAGGCGCTGTCTTTGTGATCGCGACAATGCGCGATTAAGGTCACTTCACACATGGCACTTTCGCGCCACGTGAGCGAGAAACGCACGCGGAATAAAGCGCTGAATTGGCCTTAATTTTAGCGACGGATTAGCCCACAAATGCGGAATTATCAGCCGAAACGTGTGCAAATTCCGATAGCTCCCGAGTTGCAAGTCCGACAAGCAAGAGTAATTGACTCGCGGATCGCCAACAATTTGCGAAACGAGTTCTTCGGTCTTTCCTTTTTTTTTCTCGACAAAAAATAAGTCGCGCGGTCCGACTCTTGCGGCACTTAAGCGGGTGAATCGACCGCGAACAGTCGGAGGGAAAGAGCCATCGACGGAGGTGCGCGCGTGTGTGGTATCGCAGCAAATTAACCCACTTTCCGTTAAGCAGCCGGCTAGTTTTCCGTTTGCACGGACCGGCAATTACTTGTAATTGAGAAACACCTTATACACGCATCCGGAGTGGGTACACGCGTGAGCGTTTCGGCCCGCGCGTTCGGTCGGTGGGGGCATAGGACAGAACACATTGTATTTCAGTGCTCGTGAGTCACGACCAGGTGTTCGCGATCTCTCTGTGGCCTTATCCTCGCCTCGTGCACGTCATCATCGAGAAGGTACGCTCGACTCGACTCGAGTCGAGTCGATCGAGGATACGAGGATACGAGACGCTTGACCTCAAGAAGCGCGCATTCCGTTCTCGGAGAGCACGTAGAAAAATCCTCCGTTTGTCGGGGGAATGCTTAAAGACGTGTTCACACCGAATCGCGCGCTTGCTCTTTTTCGAGTTGTTCATTTATCATTTCGATCACAGCGCGACAAATCGACTTTGTCCTCTTTCTATTTTTTTTTAACGATCGGGAACACGATACGCTTGACTTTAGGGAAAACTTGGCCAAATGTTAATTTATAACTTTTAATTATCAATAAGTTCTCTTTAGAGATACAACTAATTAGCGAAGCGCAACTTTGCGACGTCATTAGCACCTGCGCAATCAACAATCGAGCGTTTGGATGTCTAAAAAAAGAAGTTTGCCCAACTTCAAAGGTTAAATTAAAAATTAAATTTTAGAGTTCAAACGATCGAGTTCTCGAATATTTAACACGAAAGATACGCTTTGTTTTACAACAATAACGTACCGACGACCATCAGGATATCTGCCGGTTTTTCCTCAGATCATCTTTCCGTAGCGCATATCCTTGTCGATTCCACACTCCCCCAATATCTCCCTCGTCTCGAGAGCGAGGGCTCGAACAGGCTCGCAGTCTCGTGTTTCCTCTCGAGGAGAGGAACGTCGTCCGGCTGGAGCTCTAGCGGAAAGAGGAACGAACGGATAGGCATTCGGCTGGCCGAAAGGAGACGGGTATAGACAGATGGTAACCGAGATCCTGCGGATGTAGCCCGCGGGCACCTGGGCTTGTAAACCCGGAGAAAAAGAACACGCGGGAAAGGGGGATTTCGAGAACGCAAGCTGTTTGCGGTGCCAGGACACCGCGCGAACGGTCTTTCGCGAATCAAAATTCGCGGTAGCGCGCCGTATCAAGCGCAGGTCGCCGAGGAAATTAATTGAAGTCCCCCTTCTTTCTGGCCGCCTTCTTGTCCGGCGAGAATCGCGATCGGCCACGGGTATGATGCGGGCGCAATGCGCCAATGAAACTTCGACGTTGCATGTTGCATCTGATAGAGAGAGACAAAGAGAGAGAGAGAGAGAGAGAGAAAGTTGCAGAGTGTGAAAACACATTGAGCAAACTTCATGCGAAATGTCGAAGCGAAGTCGAGCGAAATTAGTACCGCGAACGAACGAAGGAAGGAATGAACGAACAATCCGGCCGGGAATTAGACCAAGAAATCGGCCCGGGGAGTTCCGACTTCTGATTTAGGTCAATCAATGTCTCCTCGAAGCGTTCGCACGCGAAGCGAATCGCATGTTGATTCCGCGGAGTCGAGTCGAGTGACGTCACGCGCCTTGTAACACGGTCAACAAATTTCCGTTCATAAACGCGTTTCTCGCGTGTCACGCGATTGTCAATTATAAAGCAAGCATTCCCCGGAATATAATTTCCTGTCCAACCGGCGGCGATCCTTATCGTCCTCGGCTTTCGTTCGCGACTCGATTCCGGCTAATGTCGATTTAGAAGAACCGCGATACCTTGAAAGCCTTGGTTTCGTCGCGCGGTAATGTCCTTATGCGGAATCCTCTCGGTGTGGTAGTAAATATACATCCCCGTGCGTCACACACGAGCATCGGGCCTCTGTTAATCGAGGCCCTCTGTTATACACATTGCGTATTGTCCATTGCGCGACGCACGGGTCCTCGTGATCTCACCGTCTTACGTGACTTTTTCTTTTAGAATTCCGATTATTTCCGCGGCCGTGGAATAAAACATTATTTTCGCTTAATCCCAAGGTATGTCATACCTATTTTTCGGCCACGTGGAAAACTACACGGAGGGAATTTTATAATAAAAATTATAATAAAAATTTTATAATAAAAATGTGGAATTTTATAACCCAAGAATAGATCGACGTTCTCCAATAACTCCAATTGACTATTCTTTCATTTCATACATACAATTTATATTAAGGACTGAAGATTTAATACAAGCTGCAGAGACGAATGAGGTTAAGATAATGCTTTTCTCTTTTTGTAAACCAAGAGAATTCTCTTCCCGGCAATGTACCTGAAGTAATAAATATCTATCTATCACACAAATTGACATCAGGCTATCAGTAAAAGGCTATTAGTAAAAGATACTTGTATGTCACACGTCCGATCTCAGATTATAACGTCTTGTAACGGGCAACATTTAGGAAGCTCGTAATTTACCTCTCACAATATATTCTCCAAAAGTACAAATCCGGCGATAATTCAAAGGATCTTGATTCTGGGGTCTCAGAAACACGTGTAAAACGTCCACATATATCGGTATTAAATTTACATTCGTACGAGCACGCTTGAGACAAATATCTCGCGAGAATGCGTTATAAGAGAAACGAATAATCTTATCTCCATTTTAAATATTTCCAGAATGTGTGAATTTTAAACTTTGACTATGAATCTACCAACACTCTCGAGACTCCATCATATCTCGTTGTTATGTAACGACTTAGACCCGAGATTTACGAGCGTACATTACTTCGTCGCAGATAACCCCATCGCACAGATCGTCAAAATTTCTTATAAATCCGCCGGTAGTAGAGTCATGTATAAATAGAGAAGCGACATGAAGGAGAACTGTCAGATTGGCTAATTAAACCACATGATTCAGCGTCATATTGTTTCCTACTGTTGTGAACGATTAAAGATTAATAATACAGTAGAACATACTCGCAGTTGACGTTACAGAAGGATATTTACTGCAGCTTTGATGTACCCTTAAGAAAAATTGCTTTAAGATGTTCAAATTAACTTTAAGCAATTTTAAGTTAATTTCAACATCTTAAAGTAATTTTTCCTAAGGGTAGTAAGTTAAAATTATAAACAAGCAGTTATTATTTACGTAAATTTTTATTCTATCCTATAACCTAATCTTAACTTCTATCTGTCATGTATTTTTTTTTATATGGCCGAGGATTAGATCCCATTCGTCAGGCCTGTCTCATATGAAGAAATAAGATGATAGCTTTTTGATATATCGCATTTATTCTCCATGTCACTTCTTTATTTATATAGGACTCTAACCGGTAAAAACGCCATATGCATAACAAACAGTCCCTAGAAATAAAAGTCTGGCCGATGTTACTAGTTTGATATAAAATGGCATACTAACTGTCGTATAAGTGACGTATCTGCATACGTGCGGCTTGTTTTCTATTGCTAAACTGGCTGCACTAGTTCAACTTTTAGAGCATATATTAGCTATTTGAACAAAAGAACTACATTGAAAGAAAAGGAACGAAAGCAAACTAGAATATACTAATTTAGATAGTTCTTCGACAAAGAACAGATCTATATATGGAATGTTCTTTCAATGACAATTCAGTGAATGTTCTTTTAATTATTATTAAAACATTCTTGAATTGTTATTAAAGATAAGATAAAGATGTCAGACAAAAGATCATGAAAATGTAAGTGGAAATGATAACACAATGAGATATAACCTTAATTCCACTGCCATGAAAAAAAAGATTTAGCTTAATTTAATATGTATGACGTGTAACGCTTTTATGGCGTTTAAAATTATTTAATACAAATTAAATAATGTTAATTGTTACATTTATTTGTTTTCGAGTACGTTATTACACATTCGTTTTTCATATTTCTGCTTTTCAATGATTTTGTATATTGGGCGTTACTGATTCCGTCATGCTGTGTCAAACCAATAAAAAATGGGACAACATAGACCAGACTCTGAATGATCGTTACAATACGGTGTAGTTACGTTTCGAAGTCATAGAATTACTCCTTGTCCACGACCTTGCTTTAATCTTTAAGCCGGAAGAAATTGACTAATCACAGTCGATTATTTAAAAAATAATCAACTGTGGTTAGTCAATATCTTAAAGATTAAAGATTAAAGTAAGATTGTCCCTTATAGAAATATCATACTAAGAATCATTGATAATTACTTATTTTCAGTATTAAAAATACTGAATAATAAGTAATTATCAATGATTCTTAGTATGATATTTCTATAAGGGGTGGACAAAGGGTTAGTCTGAACCGATCATATATCTCCTTTCGCGTGAGCTCGTAAGAAATAAAGAAAAGTTTTATCGAATTCCTCAACGAAACTTTTCATTTCTCACAAGTTTACGAAGGAAATAGATGCATGATCGATTCGCGGACTAGCGCTACGATTTTAAACGCAACCGCGACCGCATTGTAGACGACCCCTTACTTCTAGGGACTCTAGCGGGCGCGCATCGGCGCGAAAGCGCGCGCGCGGTGTACGTGCCGCGCCAGTCGTCGCGCGTACATACGTAAACCAGTTAGACGGAATCCACTTTTCCCTGAGGTATAAACCTTTTCGTCTAAAACCCGTTGTATACGCCGAGCGCTTCCTTCTCCCTCGCTCGACTCGTGCTTTCGATGATTTCCCTCACCGCCGGCGCCGGCGTGCCCAATCGCGCGTGCGCGCGCGCGCGCACACACACTCCCCGGATTCCCCCGCCGCCCGTTCCTACCTACAAGCGCGCCACCGCGTGAGACGCGCTCGTAATTATAGATTCATTCAGCGCCGGATCGCCTGTCAGTCGCTCGTCGGCGCTCACAGCGGTCAGTCGTGTGTAGAATCGTTTGCTGCTAGCTACTGCCGCGTTGTCGAGAGCATGTTCGGTTTCGGCACCGCTTCTACCCTTGTTTCTCGTCTCCGCGACGAGTGAACGCGATTCTCAACGAATGCAGTCGAGCTGCTCTCTGCTCCGGACCATCCGACAGACAGAAGGGAAGAGAGACTGGCTTCGTCGCGTCGCGAATCTGTCAGTATTCCTGAGATACCTTCATCTCGCGAAGCGGTGAACCGATCGATCGTGTAACTGCCTCCCGAGGACGACCACGGGAGTGTGATAAAAACAGCCGTGTGTTTTTGAAGCGCGAATTCTCCGCTCGAGAAAGGAGGAAACGTGCACGTGTACTCTGTCGAGGAGAGAGAAAGACGACGAGAAGCAAGATATATTTCGGTAAGAGCTTGACAATACATTTCTATTTTACGGAGTTGACAATGCTGATTGACAATGTGACGGTCTGGTTCACGTGGAAAATACGCGATCTTCTTTTTTTTCTTCCTCAATATCATTGTTGTCAAAAATGTTCTCGGCGATAATGTACGCGCGTCGAGCGAATTCGTTTCAAAGGCAAACAGACGCACGCATACACACGAGCGCGTCCGGTATCAACTGATAATTTAGCGTGCCTTGATGCACGTTTGCAAAAATGACAGTTAACGAGAAAAGGAGTCGCCACGACTGGCGAATGTAAATCGGTTCGGGGAAGGAGAAAATTGCCGGGACTGCTGTTTGAGAAACGATTCGCGTTTAAGTTTCGAGGACGCGGAGATTTGTGAAATCGATACAACCTAATCTTCGCATCGTCGTCGTCGTCATTGTCGTCGATACTCGTTCTCGAGGTGCGTTATCGTCGATCGTCCAGGGCGAATCGCGGCATTAACGCGCGCGATCTAATTTCGCCATCGTCAAAAATCGCTATTATGCAACCACATCCGACGAACGTGGGCGATTCTCCGAAGGAGAAGCGTTCACCTGTCGGTGAAAATAGAGTGACGTAGGGGCGGCGGCGACGGCGCGACGGTGTTGGTGTAGAAGCGCGTCAAATTTTCAGACTGTATTCCGCGAAACAGACGTCACCGTTACGCGCCGCTCTCGTTATCGTCCGCGGCGCGGGGCGGTGCCGTTGCCAAAAACGTTTTTCCGCGAGCTCGTCGCGCATCCGAAAAATATGACGAAACGCAGATACACCTCTCACTCTCTCCCTCTCTATCTGCACCTCGTTGTCGGAATTCTCGGACGTTTATTAACGCGACGCGTTCCTCGGAAACGCGGAGTGGGACAGGTCGTGACGCAAAATCGCTGAATATCACGTCGACGTGACATTTCACGTAGAACCAGAACGCGCGGCTCGAACTGATCGTAGAGAGTCCGTCGTCGTCGTGGAGACTCGTAATCTTACGTTTGCGTCTCTTGTTTTTCGCTCAGAAAAATATTTTGCTGCTCGATGTGGAATTCTAAATGTCACAGTTAAAATTTATCGTTGTTTTTGCACCTGCTAGAAGAAGCGGACGTGAGGATTGTTTGCATTTGTTTGTCTCTCGTCACGCGCTCTTCTGTCTATCATAATCAATTTTTATGAGAAAACATGACTGGCTTTAATCTGGATAGGCGCCACAGACAGAGACTTTTCGTTAAGTTTCATAAACATTTCAGAGAGAAATTATCCATCTCAGCTAATTTCTCATATCTACGTTACTTTCGCTGTGACTGCAAGACGATTTTTTCGAATGTTCGCTAAGACGATTCACTTGGTGGGGAGCGCCACTTTTCCTCCTCTTGCGAATGAAAACAACCGGGGCAAAATCTTTCTCATTATCTCCCACTGATCGGTACGTTGTTTAACCCGAAATGTTTGTAACTCCGTAGCAAAATTCGTAACGGACAATTGAAATGTTGACTACGTGTTCCCGAAATAACTCACGGAGCAGATGGAGGATTAAGGTCGCGCTCTCCGTGTCGAGTGGTGTGTCAGGATCGGCGGGAGGCCGCCGAGATTATCTGGATATTTATAAGAGAAATCGTTTTTGCGTGATAGCGTATGTGCGGACGATTAAGCGCGATGCGTTGGTGGATTCTACGAAGTTTGCCCCGTCCCGCCGTCGCGTCTCGTCCTATCCTGTCCTGTCTCTCCGTTCCGTTCTCGTATACGTGCGTTTATCTCGGAAAATCTGCATAATGCGGTTAAAAGACCGCTTCGCGGAACTCCTTGTTCACGGCGCGTCCCACGTCTTTCCGCCGTGTTGCTCCCGATAACGAGGCCGGCATAACCGAGGCCGCGTATATCGCTCGCGTTGCGAGCGTGTAATTACCGATAAAGGCGAAACTGGCGGAATTAGCGTGCGCTCGGCCGCTATCCTATCCTTTTGGCCCACTTCCTCGACTCACTCCTTGGAAAAAAAAAACTCGCGGAGAAGTACGCGAGTTGCGCGCGCGCAGGAAGATACATCATTCTGCTGCCGAGAAAGAGGCGATTCCTCTTTCGAGCAATGTTTATCTCGGACAAAGAATATTTTCTTGATAACAGGCGCTTAAAATATATTCATTATAAAATGTCAAAGAAACTCATTATCATGCAAGGTAGAAGCGTCAGTCCCAGAACACGTATTTAATCCCGGATATTTTCATTGTTTTGACCTTTAAACACGAATATTTAAACTTTCAAGCTAGCATATATGCATATTTAATATGTGCATAATATATATTTTTTGCTCTAAATTTAAGTATTCGTATTTAAAGATCGAGGTCTTTATTCTGAAGTCTCCTCTATTGATAAAAGTGTCTCCAAAAGCCACTTTTAGAGGCAGTTTTACCAACAAAAAAGTTGGGAATAAGGAGAATAAGGATAAACAATAAGAATGTCCAGGATTAGTTAAATCTCCTGGCATTGATACTGTTACTTTATATAAAAAGAAGGAAAATTTATTCTCTTTACAAAAATATTATAAAAACTTGAAATCAAAGAAGGATCTGGTTTGATTTTATATATTGAGCAAACCGAATTTTTGTCTTAATTTAATATTTTTTATTGGAATGCGAGATTTGCTAGGATTCAGAATACATTTTGAATAAACTTGATACTTACGACGGACGATTTGCGCATACAGAAACTTATAGAACGCTCGAAACAGCTATATAGCATTTACTCGAATGCAGAATGCATTCTTCCGTGGTGCGCGCGCGCGTGTATGTGCGTTTAAATGCGGTATGTTCCTCTCCTTTCCGACTGTGTGTAATCGATATCGAACGCCGATAATACGGGAGATCCCGCGGAAGCTGAGAACGAAGAAAAACTTTATTCTTACGACATCGTGTATTTATCAGCGGCTTGCTCATCGATCGATCGTTTAGCAGTGCATTCCCCGAACGGAGAAGTCGTTATGAACGGCTACACTTTCGGTGAATTCCATTTCCGACACGACAGATAACGAAAATACACTAATTTTCCGTACCCGGAATCGATATCGCCCGTTATCGTCGACTGCCTGTGGCGGCCGACTACGTGAGAAAATAGATTTTCCCTCCTCGAATTCGTCGCCCGTCTGGGCGCTCTTGAGAGGTCACCGTTTCCGTCGCATTTTCGGCGAATTCCGTTTCCGTCACGGCAGATAACGCAAATACACCGGTTGCCCGTATCCGGGGATCGATATCGTTGCGGCGTTGTCGCCGAGCGTCCGCGGACGACGACACGAGAAAAAGGACTTCGAATTCGTCGCGTCCGAACGACGTGACAAAACACGAGCGTTCTTAAAAAGCCTCCGTTCGCCGACCGTGACGGTCTCGCTCTATTTTGCTCGCTTTTTAGCGACTTTTTTGACTCGAGGATCTACTGTTTTTGCCTGTTCTCTTTTTTTGACTTCCCTTCCTCTCTCTCTCTCTCTCTCTCTCTTTCTTTTTTTCTTTTCTCTCGCAGTACAGCAGCGTGTGCACGGGTGTGTGTATGTGTGTGTGAGTGCGCGCTCGATCAGGCGATGAGAATCGTGGAAGCAGTGCGCGTTTCGCGGCGGCGTGTCGTTAGAGTTCTCGGAAGAGAGGCTCTAACGGTAAGTCGAATGCATTAATTGCGCGCCGCTTTGAGAGCGGATTCCTTGATTAACGACCTGACGGTATGACGGCGGTGGAAGAGGAGGGTGGGGGAAGAGTAGGGGAGTAGGAGGCAGAGAAAGAAAAATGTGCGTGGTCACGGCTGATCGCGCGGCTAATCGCTACCTTTCGTTTTCGTGGAACTTATCGGCGCGCTGATAACGACTGAATCTAATGTGTTGCGCGCTTAGTGCCTAGCCTCGGATCATTTTCGTCGAATTGACGTTCTATCGTTCAATTTACGCGGAAGCTCTCGCACCACTTGGCGCCCTGCAACCTCGACGACGGTCGACTCGTCCTGGGCTCTCCCCCCGAATAGAACGAGAGCATCGAGATTTTATGCCCGTATCTCGCGCGAGACGAGACGCCACCGCGTAAACCTTTCTCGCTCGTTATTATTATCCGTACGAAATCGCATAGACATTCCAGGAAAAGGTTCTCCGCTCTCTCGCTCGTGTCTCCTCTCGTGCACGGCCCCCCTCTCTTCCTCCCTTTTTCTTTCTTTCTTTCTCTTTCGCGCGCTCGTTCGCTCTTCCTCTCACTCGCTCCTGGAAAATGAAACGGCGCGAGATTCCCTGAAATCTCCCACTTGCGCTTCCAGTCTCTCAGTATCTCCCTCACTCGCTCGCTCTCACGTGTCTCTTTCTTTCTCTCCCTTTACATTCCTACAACTTGAGAGAAAGAGGGAGAGAGAGAGAGAGAGAGACCCGGCGAGAAAGAGAGAGAGCGAGGGGGCGCGAGCAAAGTCCCTCCACAACGTTTCTCTCGATAATCGTTGCCAAGAAGTCAGATACAGGTAGCAGTAGGTCGAGCTCTTTTTAAGGTGGGCAGAGCAGGAGGGAGGAGGCGTTCTCCACGTCCAGAGATTGCTCCAGGAATCGCACTTCCGAACCGATTTTCGTCAATCCTTCTCCTTGCCCCGTCTCCTTTGCTTCTGCTCCGCGTGCTTCCCGTTCTTCGATTCTACCGGGAGTCCTTGGGATGACTGGTCGGATCGATGATCATCGATCCCGAGGCTTGCGCCAAATCAATCTTACGACTCGGACTATGATTTATCGACGCGCCTCGAGATCTCGTGCTCCGGGTGAGGCGCATTTATTACGTGTTCTCCCTCCCCCTCTCTCTCTCTCCTCCCTTCCCACTGCCCCTTTGCACACTGCTCCTCTCGCCGTCGCTCCGACAACTCCTCCTCGAGCCACTTCTTCTCCGGCTTTCACGAGCGTCCTAAGAATCAATGAATATTTATTGCTCCAACGAGTTTTCGGAACCACCGACACTTCCATTTTGGTAGAAGCCGGGCCCGGAATCGCGTC